GAGAGAGAGAGAGAGAGAGAGAGAGAGAGAGAGAGAGAGAGAGAGAGAGAGCGCGCGCTGAGGGCTGGAGAGACAGCTCAGTGGTTAAGAGCACTGGCTGCTCTTCCACAGAACCAGGTTCAACGGCCAGCACCCACATGGCGTCTCACAACCATCCAGGACTCCAGTTCCAAGGGATCCAGTTCTTCTTCTGACCTCCATGGGCACATCACACATGTGGTGCATATATATACATGCAATATACATGCAGGAAAAACACTCATACACATAAAATAAATTTAAAGCCAGGATGCTCAATGTCCAGCCAGCCTAGCTGAATCCAGGAGCTGGAGGTTTAATTTTTCAGAACGTGTCTCAAAAGAAAGTAAAGAACAATAGAGGGAGATACCTGATGTTGACCTCTGGTCTTCACAGGAGCATGCATGCACATGTGCACGAACCACATGGGCCCATACACCACATGTACGCACATACACTACATATACTAACCCCACCCCACTCACCCCCAAAAGAAAAAGAAGTAACGTTTTAACTTTTTTAACCTTTTTAAAGGGTTTGTTTTATTTTGTGTATGGATGTATGTATGTCTGTGAACCATGAGTGTGCCTGGTGCCCAGGGAGGCCAGAAGAGAGCAATAGGTCCCCTGAAACTGGAATTAGAGATGGTTGTGAGCTGCCATGTGGGTACTGGAAATTGAACCTAGTACTCTGAAAAAGCAGCCAGTGCTCTTACCCACGAGCGGTCTCTCCAGCCCTAGAAAAGAAGCTTAAGTGGTTGGTTTCCTGAAGGGCATCTTGGAGACAAGACCAGGCTCTCAGGGTGTGGTCAGAAAGCCACAGCTATTTGCTGGGGTGGACAGGGACTTCCTCTGCTCTTCCATGTGGGAACAGGAGACTGAAGACACTCAGCATGGCCTTTGAGGGGCAGATGGACAGGAGCTCCAGTTTCTTTCATGGAGGCCCTAGGGGCGCTGCAGGGGCACAGGAGTGGTGAGTAGCAGGAGCCAGGTTGGCTTCTGTGTCTGTGGAGGATGCAGGGATTTCAAGAGGAGCCCTGGACCCCAACTCCCTCCTGGCCATCCCCCTGCAGATGTCAGCTGCGCTGCAGGGGGATGAACATATAGACGGGAACTGGATGGCTTGGGGAGGGACTTCCTGCAGGTCCCACCCTCCCGTTGGTTGGTCAACATCGCACTGGCTTCTTCTGGCCCCATCTGAAAGTCCTCAAGGCCCTGTGTGCATGGCTGTGCCCAGTGAGGTCCAAACCTGGACTGCTCTGGCCCCTCCACCCACCTCAGCATCAGTCTGGATGAACAATTACCTAGAGATCATCTTTCTGGGGCTTAAGCGTGGGTGGGAGCAGATGGGATGTGAGCTGGGGATTTGGGGATGGGGAAAGGTATCTGCTCCCCCTTCCCCCACATCCTGGCCTTTTAAAAGGCCCTCTCAGGTGTGGGGGCCCTGTCACAGGCCAGGAGGAAAGTGTGGGAGACACATGATGGATCCGGAAGAAGAAAAGAGCCAGGGGGTCTCAGATGTTCTGGACAAGGTAAGAGGCTCTGCCTGACACCACCACCAGCTTCTTGAAGTCCGTGACTGACAGGATTAATTCATTTGTAGGGCATCTAATTAGCAAGCAAGTCTCTGGGGTCCCCTGACCCAGTTACCGTAACACAAGAGGGGTATAGGAAGGAGGGTATAAGTGCCCCTCCCCCTGCCCAGGGCAAATGGATGGATTCTCGGCACTGTCCCCCCAAGAGATAGTAGGTGTTATGATTTAGGGGCACTTCTGAGCCCCATTTCCCTGGTAAGTGTCTCAACCCCCAAACCACCCCCAGTCTGGTCTTGATCTAGGACAGTGGTGGAATAATGTCCCTAGAGGCAGTACCTTGTGAAATTGTGCTGCAGGCTGGGGCCCCAGGCCGGGAGGTGGGGGGTGGGGGTAGGGGGAGGTCAGGGAAGGAGACTCAGGCTTCATTTAGAGAAACTCTACAGACCTGTGAGGACTATGGTGAGAGCGGAGATGGGGAGGCGGGCAGTGGTTCGGGTGGCAGCTGGCTGGAAGGCAGGACCGGTACAGTACCCAACTAAACCAAGCACGTCTGTCCCCAAGGCAGGTTCGCCGGACCAAGAAGGCTTCTTCAACCTGCTGAGCCACGTGCAGGGCGATCGGATGGAGGAGCAGCGCTGTTCCTTGCAGGCTGGTCCAGGCCAGACCCCAGAAAGCCGTGAGCTGGGCATGATGCAGGGTTGGGGTCGGAGGTGTAGGGGGGTGCTGCCTGAGAAGCATGCAGGCAGGGGTTCTGGGGTCTTGTGGATCTAGGGACTCAGGGTGGAGAGTACCATGTGAGCCCCTTTGGAGTCTATATTCATGACCACCTGTCTCTGCTCCAAGCAGAGGGTGGCCCTGCTCCTGAGATGGACAATCTCATGGATATGCTGGCCGACACCCAGGGTCGCCGCATGGATGACCAGCGTGTAACCATCAATTCCCTGCCTGGCTTTCAACCTATTGGTCCCAAGGTAGGTGATGTCTAGATAACCTGTGTGGAGTGTAGCAGTATTCCTCTCTAGATCTACGCCCCATCTCCAGCCAGGACAGGACGGGACCTGATCTCTAACTCTGGAAAAGGAAAAGTGCAGATGGATGTCAGAGAGGCTTAGGATCATGCAGGACTCACGCTGGTGTCAGAACTATGGCTGGAAGTTACGGTTCCTGCCACAACATCTGTGTACCTGGGAGAGGCCACAGGGAGAAAACAGAGTTTCCTATGGCGATGTTCCTTGGAGGGCATATGAGCTCACATATCCATGTATTAACTAAGAGCATGGGTTCTGTTTGGGGACATTTTCTGTTTCTGAGATAGAGTTTCATGTAGTTCGGTTGGCCTTAAACCCACTAGCCAATGATGACTTTAAACTTATAATTTTCCTACATGTACCTCCTTGGTGCTGGGATTACAGGTATGAGCCACCAGGAGTGGTCTGTGTGGTTAGGGATGGAATTCAGAGCTTTGACACATTCTCTGTCAGCTGAGCTACACCCCAGCCCTGTGTCTGTGCACACTAGCACACATGTTACAGGGCCATGTGCACACATGCGGGTAGAGGTCAGCAGTCAAGTCCAGCAGTTCCTCAGCTGCCATCACCTTGTTATTTGAGAAAGGACCTTTCGCTGCCCTGGAACTCACCAAGTAGACCAGGCTCCCTGGCTAGGCAGCCCTAGGGATCCTCCTGACTCTCCTCAAGCACCGAGATTACAAGTGCATAAGACCACATCTGGCTTTTCACCTCAGTGCTGGGGATTAAACTCAGGTCTTCAAATGCACACAGCAAAGATTTTAATGACCGAGTTATCTTGTTGGCTCATTTATTTGTTTTTGAGACAAGGTTTCAAGCCTGGAACTTTCTATGTAGACCAGGGTGGCTTTGAACTTGAGATAATTCTCCTGCCTGTGCTTCTTGAGTGCTAGGGTTACAGGTGTAAACCAATAGCTCAAGTTCTGATCAAGACCCCACTGAGAGCTGACCATCTCATACCAAATACCACACTGATGGGCAGATGAAGGCAGACAAAGGGAAATGTTGTTTGGAGGCACCTCTGGCTTGTACTTTCCTTGGTCCCCTCTCTGTCTGACCCCCCCCTCTTCATCTGCAGGATGGAATGCAGAAACGACCTGGGACCCTCAGCCCTCAACCCCTGCTCACCCCTCAGGACCCTGCTGCACTCAGCTTCCGCAGGAACAGCAGTCCCCAACCCCAGACACAAGCTCCTTGAGAGCTCTAGCCGTCCTGGGCCCCCCACCGGCCCCTGAAAACAACAATAAAACGCTTGGCACTAGTAACCAAGAACTGAGTGTGTGTTATTTCTGGGTGGAGGACTTGAAGGTCTCAGGACCTCTGCTGAGCAGCTTGAAGGAGTCTCTCTTCCCTCTGCTTCCGGATCTTCTGTTTGAACTCTTCTAGCTCCTGGCGCTGCAGTGAGGAAGGGTGTGATGGGAAAGGAGGCGGGGCACACACCTCAGGCCTGACTTACTTAGCCACCAGCCCCCTTTAGCGTAAGAGGTCAGTGTCCATGGGCCTGGGGCCCCATGCCCATCACAACCACCAGACTAGTGAGTTCAGCCCCACCCTTCAGGGAGAAGGTACTCTATGAAACCATTTGTGTCCGCCCACTCCTTAAGACAGGGTCTTCTCGCCTATCACAGGCTAGCCTTGAGCTCACTATGCAGCCCAGAATACCCAGAATCCCCGATCCTCCTGCATCCATCTCTTCAGCACTGGAATGCTGGAATGACAGCCCTCTCTCCCCGCTTCCTCTCTCCAGCCCTATGCAGCCCAGGCTGGCTTCAATCTGCTAATGCTCCTACCTCTGCTCCCAAGAGGTCACAGGTGTATACTATCACAAACAGTAAGAAACTTGTACGGAAACAAGGTCTCTAGCCCAGCATAGCCTGGACTCCTATCTGTTTTCTGTTTCCAGTTTCCTATCTATGGGTGAGGGTGAAATTTTCATTCCAAGCCCATCCAGGGTAAGGTAACACAGCCCCTTGGAGGAAGAACGGGTTCCTTACCTGACCCTCCTTCTCTCGTGGCCACAGCTCCCTCTGTGGAACAAAGTCAGCAGGTGAGAACACAAGCCAGGAGACTCCAGAGTCCCACATTCAGAGCAGGGTTGACTCATGGGAGGCAGGCAATGGTCCCCAGCCACAAGTTAGTGCTTCATACCCGGCTTTCCCCACCGCAGGAATGATCCCGAAAACTCTCCTGATACCCACCTTGCGCTGGACAACATAGTCCTCAAACCAGTCTGCCTGATTGGAGATCCAGAACATAACCACGGGGAAAGTGAGGTAGAGTGACATCTGCAAACGCAAGGGAGGATGGGCAGAGCCCAGAACTCTCACCACCCCAGTACAGGGAGATTGAAGGAGAGCTCAGAAGACAGATCTATCCTCCTACACAGGCCAGGAGCCCCGCCTCACACACACACACACACACACACACACACACACACACACACACACACGCAAACTTACACAAGGGTACGCTTTGGGGGTTCTAGAGCTCCCACTACAAAGACATACCCTCGAGACCTGATTTTATCTCCCAACCTGATCCCCGTAGCATTTCAAATAGAGGGGCCTCATTTTTTTCCAATTATACTCCCCTACATTTAGGAGTCCGCCTATCTGAGACCCATTACGAACCCAGGGCTTCCCTTCTGGGAATCCCGCCCTGGATCGGAAACCTCCCTTCACCCCTGTATGCGACGCTTCCTCAGACCAAACCCAGACTCTCCATTCTAAGCCCCCACATGGAGAGCTCCTTCCGCAGCGGTTCCAATACAAATCTCAGAAACTTTCTCCGCGGAACTCCCCGCTCTGCACTTCTCTCACGTCCAAAAACTATTCTCACATTCTGAAAGACCCCGGGTCCAGACGTCCAACCCACTCCCGAGCTCACTGACCCGAAACACCTCCAGCTTCACCCCCATCTCGCCTCTGCGGTTCTACGAAGCCACTTCCGCCCACAGGCGACTCTCCAGCAATGCAAAATCTCACTGGTGCATCTCAAGACCAGATACTGGAGCGGAGTGGCCAATAACCCGGCATCGGTGGCGTCATCTTCCAGCGCCCCTCGTCCGCTTCCGGCCACAGCCTTGACACTACAGAATTCAGCCGAGCAGGCCCGGCAGTCCGTGAGGCGCAGCCAATAGAGAACGGGTCTGGTCGGAGAGGGCGGGCCTTCTGTGCGTGACGCCACCAGAGCGCGACTCTCGTCTGTACCTGGGGAGCCAGGAAGATGGTGGTGATGGCGCGCGTTCCGCGTCCCGAGCGGCCGGATCTTGTTTTTGTAAGTCTGCGGCGACGCCAAGGGTGGTCCGCCAGGGAGGATCCGAAGCTAGGTTCCTTCTAGGATCGGAATCTGGCTCTCGGGGGGGTTTAGGCCCAGACTGTGCGTGCCCAGTCCATGGGGGACCCTAACGAGCCAGAGGCGACATGTCAAAACACTGACCAGGCGGGAAATAAAGAACCAGCTCCCTCGTGGTCTGAGTGAGGAGCTGCTGTTGAGGTTAAGGTTTTGATGTCTGGGGCCGGGAGAAGTGAGGTCGAGCCGGGAATGGAATAGCAGGGAAACGGCATGGATTTGGGTAGGCTTAGTGACCAGGTTAGAGTTCTGGCTTCCGGATAACACCTTGACTTCTGGGGCTACAAGAACCTGGGAGTATGAAGAAAAGACTAGTGATGCGGATGGCCCCGGGGATCCTAAAAAGGTGAAAATTCGGTGCCTGAAATAGAGGCCCCGTATTTCAACCGCGTTCACAGTGGGTTTAGGGCCATTAACGTGCCTGTGTGTTTTTGAGTTACTGGGGTTTAACCAAGGGTCTCGTGCATGCCAAGCAAGCACTGTACAATTGAGCTATGTCCCCCCCACACATATGTACCCCACCTCCTGAGATAAAACCCGTTAGCTTGCAGTTTCTGGGGTAGAGTTGAGCTTAAGTACAGGTTAATGGGATCCTGAAAGGCCAGAAGTTTGATGGACTAGGTGCCTTAAGTAAAGATTTAGTCACCGGGGCTGAGGAGCTGGCTCAGTTGGTAAAGTGCTTGCTGTACAAGCCTAGGACCTCAGTTCAGACCCCTGGCACCTACATAAAATGCTAGTGAGAGACCCTGTCTCAAAAACAAGGTGGAGAGCAATTGAGGAGGACCTCTGGCTTCTGCACCAGCTCCCACATGTGTATACGTGAATGTATACACACACTTACTATAGACCAGCCTCCCCTAGAACTCATAGAGATCCACCTGTATCTGCCTCCCGAGAGGAGGCTGGAAGAAAAAAGATTTAAAACTTTAAAATTTGGGCCAGGTGTGATAGCACACGCCTTTGATCCCAGCACTTAGGAGGCAGAGGCAGGTAGGTCTCTGTGAGTTTGAAGTCAGTGTGGTCTACATAGTGAGTTCCAGGACAGTCAGAGCAAATAGTGAGACCCTGTCTCAGGGGGAAAAAAAATTAAATTTCATTATCTGGGTCTACATGAAGATAGGTCTGGTGGTGACAGTATGAGTGTACGGGATCAAAAGCCTGATGTCTGGGAAGAAGTGTGTTGTGTGTAGATACAACCTGCTCTCCATGGAGGCCTGGTACCTGGACCTGTGCCCTAGTGTTATGAGAGTCTAGAGATTATGGGGAAGGCATGAGAGAGGATAATGGATGGTGAAAATGTCCAAAACTCACTGTATATATGTATGAAATTGTCAAAGAATTTTTTAGAGTGGGGATTGGGACCAGGGAGTGGGCAGTGGGATTTACTGGCCAACGCTGATAATCTGGGCAGGGGTCTCATTAACAGCTGAGAAGTCTGCATGGGCAGTTGAATTCTAAAGTCCAGGAGTCTGAACTGGCACTCTAGCACAATGGTTCTCAACCTTGCTCATGCTGCGACCCTTTAATACTTTTCCTCATGTTGTGGTGACCCCCAACCATAAAGTCATTTTTGTTGCTATTTCATAACTGTAGTTTTGCTACTGTTATGAATCACAGTGTAAATATCTGTGCTTTCTGGTGGTCTTAGATGATGCCTGTGAAAGGGTTCTTCGTCCCTCAAAGGGGTGGCAACCCACGGGCTAAGAACAACTGCTCTAGCATCTGAGTGACTGATAATGCAGTTTTGACAGAGGAAGAAACCATGCCTGGGACCTTGCTGTGTTGTGTTTGTTTGCTTGTTTAAAAATGTTTTTGCTATCGTGTTTGTGTGTGTGTTTGAGTATGTGTGTGTAAATCAGGTGTCCACAGAGGCCAGAGGCTGGAGTTGCAGGTGCTTATGAGCTGCTGGACATTGAGTGCAGGGAACATGAGGGCTGAGTTCGAGTCCTCTGCAAGAGCAGTTTGTTTTTAGGTATGGTGTGTGTGTGGTGTGGGAGTGTGTATGTGTGAATATGTATTGGCCTGAAATAGACTTCAGCTGTGTTCCTCAGTTGCTCTCCGTCTTGCTTTTTAAGAGAAAGTCTTCTCACTGAACCTGAAGCTCACTGGCTAGCTAAATGGCTGGCCAATGAGCTCTAGGGTCTACCTGTGTCTGCTTGCCCAGCCTTGGGATTATAGATGCACAATGCCATTACATGGGTGTTGGGGATCTGAACTCAGGTAATCCATGCTCGTGCATACTGACTGGGCCATCTTTCCACTCCCTTTTGGTTTTGTTGTTGTTGCTGTTTTTTATTTTAGCATGTGCAAGAGGTAAGTCCTGTGGTATGCCACTGTGTGCATGTGGAAAGTAGAGGACAGCTTAAGGAATTGAGTTCTCTCCTACCATGTGGATTGAACTCAGGTCCTCAGGCTTGGTGGCAGGTGCCTCCACCCACTGGGCTTCTCACCAACCTCGAATTTGTTTTATTCTTCGAGGCCTTTTGCCTCTGAAGCGATGGGAGAGCAGGCCTCCACCACTGCCTTTGGCCGGGCATGGACGTTTAGTGGAAGCCTGGAGTTAGGGGCTGAGCCCCAGTATGGGTGTGGCCCCACTGCGTCTAAGGCCTCTTTTCTCCCATTCTCTGGCCCTGGCAGGAGGAAGAGGACCTTCCCTATGAGGAAGAAATCATGCGGAACCAGTTCTCCGTCAAATGCTGGCTCCGCTACATCGAGTTCAAACAGGGGGCCCCGAAACCCCGGCTTAATCAGTTGTACGAGCGGGCACTCAAGCTGCTTCCCTGCAG